GCCCGATAAACAATGATGCGTAGAAGAGATTTAAGCAGCAGCATATCAGAGCACATTACCGACACGTCTCCTGGAAAAGCATCGCTCCAAACGTTGTGCCTTGGTAGGTATATAATATACACGATTTTTGGTGCCTTGCGGTTGGCTATGTTTAGATCATTTTAGTCACGTGATCGGAGGGGTATCCCGGTCTGATGTCACACAAGATGGCCGCCTTACCTAAAAATAGTTTGCGTCATTCTACATTTAGTCGCATGCATGTCTTCTCGACTCTATCCTCTCTAGTGGCCAAGAAGAAACACATCTCACTGACCCTGCTGTTTTGGGAAAACATAATTTTTACTAGATAGAGGCTATAAAAGTCACCCAAGATCCCACACTGAAGGAGCTACATTCGGCTAAGATCCCGCTTTTCAGGTCATAATTTTGTTATTTTTTTCTTTACATTTAAGATTTTTAAAAAGAAGCGGATCCACCTTGTAGCGAAAATGTGGCATGCCTTGCTTTCCCCGATCACCTGAGCGTCCGCCTGATCTTATCTTACACTAGGTGAGGAGGGCCTACAAGCAAGCATCAGACTGCATTCTATCAAACTGAACTCGTGGACGCTTCCGTTTTTCCAACCATCGCTCTCGACTTTCAGTTTTGCGCTCGAACTTCCTAGACAGACCAGCGGTCTGTCCGAACGCCTCTGCTTAATGGGTTTTATTTGGTCGGTGTGGTCACAGCACAATGATTTATGATGCATCATGATCTGGGCTGGAAACTCCGTTAGAGATGGAAAGCAATACATTTTTGGTGGGGGGCATTGCTTGAAGCCAACTGGTTCTCACCTGACACAGTATTTTTTTTTAATGGACGTTAAGCGGAGATTACTGAAATATGAATGAAGGGAAAGGCATATTATATTCGTTGGTTTAGACAAATTTTAATTGTTGTAAAAAGGTATTTTTGTAAGATGTTGGCTAGGTACATTGTATGATTGTTTGCTCCTTTTTTTACTTTTACTCTTGATACCTTGCACCTCGCACATACAGTTAATTGCGTCAAAAGCATAGTTTGCCAGAGAACAAATCATCATCATACAGCTTATCACAACTTTCTTAGAGAAGTAATCATTGATATTTTGAAATTTCGTAGACCTGTAAAAGATCAAACATAAAATGTAAAATTACTTACTCTGTCAGACAAGAAACAGAAAAGGTTCTGGTATGTTTTAACAGTTTTTTACAGACATCGTTAAATTGCAATCTTGGTAATTTTTATAGTACATTTCTACACATAAAAAGTATCAAAATGATGATATGTTGTAGTAATTGCCTCGAAGTGCTACTGGAAATATTATAGCTAGCGCCTATAGATTTGTTAATTCTTTCCAGACGTAGTTTTTTGGGGGTCTGGACATATCCTGTGGCTCGATTTGGTTATTCAGGTGGTGTACAAAATAACTTCATAGAAGCATAACCATCAAATTGAAGGAAATTAAATGAGGAATACATCACAATCCAAAACAAGTATTAATTTTGAACATTATAAATATGTATTAGAGGGGTTGGAAATGGTGATGGTGATTAGAAAAAATAAATTTTAATGGAAAAAATTACATTCACCAAACATGTGAAAGCAAATCAGCATAGCTATTTTATCATATATACAGGCCAAGATCCATGAATTTCTGAATGCGCAGTTTTTTATTTGAAAGCAATATTCCAATTTTTGTTTGAGTTATGAAGTTTATACTGAGTCCGGTAACGTCGTTTTGTTGATGCAAAACCACAAGAACTAATTCACTCGTTTTTCCCCAAACCCACGCTTTGACAAAGTTAACGTTTCCTAAATCCGTTCCGAGTTTTTCGAAAGCAATAAAAAGTAATTATAAATGACGGATCGTGTTAAAACTAAACAAAACTGAGGCACCGCATCACAACCGATATATCGGCGATACGTCCGTAAGGGGTGTTGACTAGCGCTGATATATCAGCAATATGTCCAGAAAGACTTAAATTGTATGCATTATAGTACTTTGAAAAATAAGTGACTCATTTTTCCCTACTTACAATGGGAATGTTCATTTACAGCCACATTTATTCATCACATACCCCACACACACACTCTCACACACACACACACAGACGCACAGACGCACACACTCACACATTCTCATGCACACTGCAGAATATATATTTCAAAATACTTTAACAAATCAATGCTCTAAAGTGTCATAAAAAGCATGGGCCTCAGCCGGAAATACTGACATCAGCCCTTGTAATGTTGGTATTTTGTACTTGTGATAATAAGTCTTCCTTGTAATGTAGTTCAGGGGCAGTGGTGCTTTGATGGAGAGTGGTTGCAGGGTTTGGGTTGTCAGTTGTCAGAGAAAACAAGCTTGTACAGAATGTCTCTTTATGAGAAATAGCGGAGGGTCAACCACTTTTGCCTTCCAGACTTTCCTTTCAAGTCGAATGAGCGAGTATTTTTATTTAATGAAATATTTTCTGAAGAAAGTATAGTCTACGTATTTGACTTCGAACGGCTGAGGGCTTTAACACGCCAGTCTGAAGACATACTGAAGGTACTTGTATAAGAACGATTTTGAGGGATCGCTGTATGAGGCTATGAACGCTATGGAACATCATGTGAGATATTTCTGTTCAGTTGTGATGTTGAACTCACGAGCTGGAGCTGAGAGGACACGGGCAAGTGTGTGTCCTTTTTATTCTGCCATAAGGTTTTGGCATGGGGTCGTACGTACGTAGTCTACGATGCAAAATGAAAATTCGTCAGAAGTTAGTCCACCTTCACCCTCATTCCAGACATAACATTTCACATCCCGGGTTGCCCTGTTGACAGTAAAGTTATCATGCACAGCAATCTTTGTTCTGTAGTAAGAGTGGAGGCCTTGAGCATGGGACACAACAAGACACGTTGAAGATCCATTCATACACTCTTACTATGTCTGAAGCTTCCTTTGATTAGGTCTCCAGAGCTATCTTTTTATCTATTTCTTTCTCTTGCCTCGCTGCCTCTTACTTTGCTTTCTTGCTTTTTTTGTGAACTACCAATGCATCATCTGTTACGTTGCCTGTTTGGTACCAGACGTAAATGGTTTTTTTGGTTGGAACTACGCAAAATTGTTTTGGTTTAACTCTTTCCTGAATAGGTCGAGCCCCGACAGTAGGTCTTTTACTTTCTACACTTTTTGTTTCATAAAGTCTGCATGTTTGTCTAAATTTGAAACGTTGGTTCCGAATACAACTTTGAGGAACTCTGTCTGCAATAATGACTGGGACTTTTTGGGAGAGAATGTAGAAATTCTTTATTAAACATTGTTCAAGAATATTTTGGACTCTGCTGCTCTGTCAGAGTGTGAAGTATACCTCAATGATTTGCTGTTTCATTGGGTCGATTAGGTTTGATATTTGACGAACTTAGATTGTAAGTACATCACTGTTATTTTCAGGCTGTTCTTTCTGTCTTTGCGACTATAAGGCGATAGCTACTAATCAGTGAAATTGTTATCCTTCTTTTTATTTGTCTTTTCAAACTATAGACATTTTTAGCTTGTTTAACTGCGCCTCCTGGTGGAGTTTTGATGTCATTTACAAAGGTGAAAATTAAAAACCCAAGGCTATGAAAAATTTTAGTAGATGAGAATGAACTGTGTAATGATGTAATGATAAGACAGTATCTGTCCCTTTAATGGGTCATGTAAAAGCCCACCGGTACAACAGGGCGAATTTACATGAATATATGTCTGTACATCAAGTATATGAATATATGTCTGTGCCTTTTTTTCTGTTACAGATACTTTGCTGGTCTGAAGCCAACATCTGGACACAGGCTTAAAACTACGACTGCAATGTCGTCTGAAGCAGCTTCTGAAAGTGGCCATGTGCTAGTAGGGCATATTGCTTCTCTTCATTGTTACCCAATCAAGTCATGCACTGCCATCTCTTCAGATGCCGCTAGCATCACCCAGTTAGGACTGAAAATAAGCGATATTACAGACAGGTGAGAGTTGTTTCACGAGGACATGTTATAATGCTGTTTTGTGTGAGGCATACAATCACTTATCCTGTGTCTCCCAAGAACTTCATATAAGCCTATTACATATTGCAAAAGACATTTTGATTGCAATTATGGTTCTTGTACTTCTTTAGATATTAATTTACTTGAGGGTTTTGAATTTACGGACGATGCTTTTTTCAAGAGGAAAAGGCCTTGAACTTAAAGCAGTATGTTTTTGGGAAGTGGTTCTGCTTACTGAGACTGTATGAGTTTGAAGGAGGTGCATTATGACACTCTTCTCTCTGAGATGATTATGCAGACTTATTGCTCTGGAAATTTATAGTTCTATTCCAAGTTGCTAATTCCTCATGCTGACTTTCATGCTTGTCCACTCTTCCTGGGCTTAGTGCAGGCACACTTACTTTGCTGACTAAGGAGGTCATAGGCACACTCTGCAGTTATTTGTACCAGTGGTTGGGCAGGGCCACTAGTAGGACCTACTTTGTTTCTTTCCCTCTGTCATGTCTTTCTGTTTACCTTGCTTTTTTTCCTGCTCAAAATGTCAGTGTGCTTCTGTTTTTTCACACAAACTCACGAAGAAGCAGTTTTTGTAATTCAGGGTAGTTTAAATGCATGGGGGTGGCATTGTGGTGAAATCAGGCACTTGTCAAAATGATGAAATCGCGGAAACTAACATTTTTCCACTGGTTGGTCAATTTTTATGGATTTTTTTTTTTGGGGGGGGGGGGGGCCTTGCAACAACATTTGCCTGTTGATTCGTTAGTAGTTTGTTGAGTGGGTCCTTCGCCTTACACCAGTTTTGTTCTCTTACAGACATTTCATGGTGGTGAAGGAAAATGGTGATTTCATCACCCAGCGGCAAAAGGCTAGGATGGCAAGTATAAGAACTGCCGTAGAAGAAGGTGAACTGGTTTTGCAGTCTGACTTCATGAAGACCTCCTGCAGAGTTCCCCTGAAACCCGCCGCTGAGAAGGAGAAGATCAAATCTTGTCGGTAAGTTGTTTTAGGGTGCAAGAGCAGAAACATTTTATACCACATACATGCATATCTCTCTTAGAATGTCATGTTTTGGATAATGTAAAGGTGACTATGAACTTGTCCTGTTTAAGTTAGCTTTTTAGAAGAAAAAAAATAATATATATATCCATGTATTGCGTGTTATGAATGGCGTGCATTGCTTTGATTGGGGGTTCATAGTAAACATTCAAGGTACGACATCGTCTTTATAATGTGATAAGGCATACTGAAACTATTAAACATCTCCGGGGGCTCTCGTGGCCTAGAGGTTAAGATGTTATCCTCTCATTCAAAGGTCCCGGGTTCGAATCCGGGTAGCGACTGAAAAATTTTCTACTCTAAAATTGTCTCCTTTCACCTCCTTTCCTGCTGTCTAGCAATGTTCTGTTGTCTGCTTTCATTTCCACTTTCTGCCCCCACCCCCTCACCTCCTTTGCCCCCTCCTCTGGGCTCCTGACTCTTTCTGCAGCCTTTCTACTGCTACTCCTTGGCTCCTCCTTACTGCTGTCTTTCTGCCACACCCCTGATCTTCTGGTAGGAAAGATCTACACCTAGCCTTCTCGGACAAGGGCAAAAAATCTCGGAGGGCCCGTGTGCAAGTTTCGCACGTTAAAGATTCCTTGGTGGTCTAAAATCGATAAGAGTAGGCTTCGGCCGCCACCCGCGCAAAATTCCAAATTTCCTACCAACTGCAAATATTAGGTGTGCTCATATGACCTTATGCAGTTGCGAGCACCGTAAAAGACTTACCAAGACAAAAACAAACGTCTCCAATCATACTCTGTGTAAATGAAGGGAAAGGAGGAATGGATTGACCAGCTTTTATAGCACGATCGATTGCTTGGACCGCATGAGAGGAGCAAGTAATGGTAGCAATCAAAAACCACCTACTGATTCACTCGCCTCACTTGTATTCCTTAAAAAACGTTCTGTTCAAGTGCATATGTGTGCAGATATGATCAAGTGCTACTCCATGCCAACCCCTTTCCTTTCAACCCTACATGCACAAAACATGGTAAAGCATTTCTGGAAAAGTTTCTTGTCTTGAACTCAAACTGGATACAAAAGCTTTTTTTTTTTAGAGACAGGAAATTTCGCTTCTTTGTGAAAGTGGGTTCTTAGGCAGACTTAGTTCTTTCGCGGATGTTCGTAGGTGGAAGCCACCTTATAACTCCATGTTTATGTTTGAACCATGCCTCTCACAGCAGAACCAGTGCATTTCAGCCCCATTGCTTCTAACTTCATTTTTCTCTTTCACAAAAGTTATCGCTGCCAAAAAAACAGGAGGTTTTTTTTTTCCCACAGAGTCTGGAAGGATAGGCTGGACAGTTTGGACTGCGGTGAAGCTGTTTCTACTTGGCTGTCTGAGTGTGTGGGTGAGCCTGGTCTAAGACTGGTGGCCACTCTACCCGAGATGAAGAAAAGGCCAATTTCCCACTCTAACACTTTACCACAGGATGAGGTTTGTTTGTGATGATATTTTTACGCCTCTATTGACACGATTTAAATAATTTAGGAGGCAAGCTTCTGACCCTCCCTTGTCAGGGCCGGCCCCTGGCTGAGAGGGATATAACATTCCAGCAAAAAAGATTCAGATGGTTGATTAAAATTCTCCCCACTCTGGAATTGGCCTTAGGGTCACCTGCGTCTGACAGCAAAGCATCTAACAGCTACACCACAAACGTCGGTGACCATGATGGAAAAAAGGATAAAGACAAAAAGAAGAAAAGAGAGAAAGGCAATTTTTTGTTTTTGATGCCTTTAACTTTTTTAACAGTAGGTGGGGAAAGAGCACGCTGCGAGCTATCAGATTTTTTAATACAGTCGAACCCTATTATACCGCCTGCATGACATTGGCAGTATAGTGGGGTTGGCGGTATAACAGGGTATTTAATGACTGCTCCAGATTGGCGGGACAAACTGTGATGGACAAGGGATGGTTTTCATGTCAAACATAAAGAATTGAAAATTTATCATTCCCTCAAAATAAATGTTTATGATGTTCAATACAAGGTTTGTTGTTGATTTCTAATTAAAAGAAAAATGTATATTTTTTCCTTTCGTTTAGTCCCGAATTTTATTGAAGAATATGATTTTCAACGGTGCCATGCCTGCTTTACTTGGGTTTAGCATGGTCAGTTAAGCTGAAAAGATAGGGTTGTTTTTTTTGGGGGGGGGTTGTTGTTTTGAGTGTGTGTGTGTGTATGATGTTGAGTTCTACTTTCTTGTTCCACAGCTGGCTTATCATGATGATGGCCCTCTCCTGGTGACCAACACGGCTTCTCTGAAGGACCTCAAGTCCAAGATTCCAGGATCAGAGGAGATTACAATGACCAACTTCCGACCTAATATTGTTATTGAGACGATCAGCAAGGAACCATGGGAAGAGGTTTGTAGGCCCTGGTTTTGATGTGATACTAACCCCCCCTCCCCCAGGTGCCAGGTTTATGTTCCCCGATAAGCATATTTCGGCACCTCGCCTTCTGTCCTGTCTCGTATCAGTCCGGCCCTGGTTCAGCACACATGCGCCGAGCATCATCCGTGTGATGACCGTGTCCGGTATTCCTGCAGCTCTAGTGTGTGTGCGTCAGTCTGCTTGAGTGTGTATACATTTGTGGCCTCCTTCTAGAACCAGCTGCATTGGTTCGAAACCAAATGTGCATTTCATTCAATACACTCCAAGTTGGTAGCTCCGGATGATCGTCCAATGAAATTAGATCAAATTGACCCACTTGGACGTGAGGAGCTCGAAAGGATAACGAGGAAACAAAGACTTCCATTTTTTCTATACAAAATCTTTCAAATGAACTTGATTTTATATGAAATTATATTACCGGATAAAAATAAGCTTATTTGATAGTTTTGAATACCATTGTGCCGGTAAAAAGAAAACTTTGAGAGCAAACCATTAGGAAATTGACCTACATTATTTCCTTTCCAACCCCAGATCATTCGTAACAACAAGAGCGTCTGAAAGGTTATTTGAATGGACATAATGACTTATCAACTTATGAGAGGGGGGTTATTCATGTGTTTGTAAACCTTTATAAAGAGAAAGCTGTTAAAGATAAAGCGTTATTTTCATCATCTATTAACACACCCTCACAGTGTTCACGGCGATAATACTTGTTTCCAGGGTCGCTCGCTGTACAGTAACGGTACACATCGAGTGACCTCAGTGGCCCGCTAGGAATGTCCGAGGTACGACGTTACTGATAAAACTGGTATCTCAGCACGGAGGCAGATTAAGATTAAAGTGATAACAATGAATTTTTCGCGAATATCTGTCATCTGTGATCCACCTCCGTCACTGCTATTGGCAGTAGGAGCTCTACATAATGGGAGCAGAGGTGACCACCTTTCTTTATCCATGCATGGTTCTGCGACTTTCTGTCTTAATCCACTGACTCCGTTATATTGATGATGCTGGATTTAAGTAGTCTGCCTCTTTAACAATGGAAAGAGAGTGATGTAAATAATGATGTTTTTTGTTGAATTAAATATTGTCTATGTCCATTTGATAATGTTATCTTAAAAGCTTTCTGTATTCATTCATCTAAAAAAGGATTTATGAATATTAATGTAAATTTGGACGTTGTTGGTTACTGAAGTGATGGTTTGCTGTATAAGGAGGGAAATTTTTACTGCTTTCAATTTTTGAACTAGTGAAAGGTTGTACTTTTGTGGGGAGGGTGACAGTTAGAAAGTAAGAAAATGAGTAGTATGATGAATATGGTCACAATGGCTTTTCATTCATCTTCTTGGTAGATACCGCCACGCCTTGGATATTTTTTTAGGCTGACATAGAACTTGAAGGCATGAAATTCTTCTTTTCAGGTACGAAGGTAGAGTCAAGATGAACCTCGGAATCTTTTAAGAAAAGGCAGAAAAGGGAAAAAATTCCATGTTTATTGATTTTAGTTCTGAAATTTAGTTCATGGTAATGAATGCATACAATCCATGACAACAATAATTTAGATGTTAGGGTACTTCAACATCACGTAAGCAGAGCTGCCTAAATCTACCGATTTTTCCGGTAGATACCGATTTTGGGCCTGTTCTACCGCCATACCGATAAGGTGTCAAAACTACCGGATTTTCGATGGGTGCCGAGAGAAGAAAAAGAAAAAAAAACATTCTGCAGTGCTTCCACTCTTCTTTGTTTTTACGGAAATCCGTACATTCCGAAAGTTCCGTACTTGCCGCATCATCATATCAACTCCATGCGTTGAGAGAGAGAGAGAAGGAGAGAGAGAGAGAGAGAGATCAGCACTTGCCTCCGTAACTTGTCAGATATTTACAGCAACTCCCGGCAATAAGTTGTATTAGAAACTGCCAGATTGCGCATTTCGTACACTCGACCATTGTCTATCTGTGCCGTTCGGTCGGCAATAGTTTTTCACGTGCATATCGGCTGAAATATGTCTACTCACGATAGATAATCTTCCTCCTTCTTTTCATTCATTCTTTCTTTCTGTCTATCTTCTGTTTTTTGCTGCGGCTGGAAAATCTGTGCATTTAATTCATTTATCCAGAAAACAGAATTGTGAATATAGAAGGAAAATCGGTATCGAAGCAAAATATTCTAAAATCGGTCTTGGTCTAGAGAATTGGTCAGTACCTAGAACTGAGAAAGCGTAGGTCAGTACCAAATAAGAATTCTACGCAGGAAAAAAAATCGCCTATACGGGGTGCCCACTACGGCTGTGATGGGCCGATCGCCCGACTCGGTCGCCTAAAAAACAAACGTGTTTGTTTTCAGTTTCAGGCGATCGAGTCGGGCAATTGGCCTGACCCAGCCGTAGTGGGCATCCCATATTAGACCTGAGAAAATGCACAAAGTCCTCGAAACCAAATCTGAAAAGCCTTCTGAGTTCATATTTTACTGGTCGCGTTTGTGATATTACATTCGGCTTTCCCCAGTCCAAGAGTACGTTTCGTGCGAATGAGCGGCTATGGCGGCAGGCGGAAGACGTGTAATACTGAGACTCCTTTGGGAAAATCAAAATCTGCTTTCGTTACCGCTCAGATTTGTCCGATGATAGTTCGTTGACGTTAGATTTACAGTTAATAAAAATTTGTAACCTGCAGTGTAAAAAAACACAGTGTAGCCATAAACATTAAATGGATATATTGTCACTGATGTCACTATAATGACTAAAAAAGGGAGAAAAAGAAAACACGCGTCCTCCAATTTCTAGATTGTCGGGCCCGTCATCGTGACCGGTCAATGAACCTGTGAGAGTTCGTGAGTATGGCACGAGCTAGGGACCGGCCAGTGGTTGTTGGGGAAAGCCTAATCAAAGTTCATTCAAAGTGGGAGTGTTGCAGGGCGTCGGAATTGAGGGGAGGTGTTTGATGCAATAAAGTTTACGGCAGCAGGAAAAGGCCGCGGTGCAAGAAACTGATGCTAAAATAAAACAATAAGTGGAAGTGGTTTTGACATTCGACAATCGAGTGCGTAAATGAGGGAAGATTGGGACACAGGCTTGATGGATGTATCTTCAAGGTTGGTGTTCCCGGGTTTGTCGGATTTGTCAGTGATGACAAATTGAATAGTGGCAATGAGGAAATGCCATTTCCACCCTCGGAAAGCTCTATGTTGGATGCCTATGCATCATGATGGTTTGTTGCTGATTAAATACTGGTACTGTGATTTAGCATTTTGGAAAAAAAATCAATACTTAGTCCATGATGCAGTGATTCACTGATTGCCAGGTTTTCAGCATCACTGCATCCCACACTCTCACAGTCCTTCCAGCTCCGGCTCTATCGGTACACGATCTCTTTTATTTTCATTTTCATTTTCAGGTTTTATAAAATAAGTTTTGTCTTGCATGCTTTTTAAAATCCGTGATTGCTGAAACCAAACATGGTTTTTGCAGTTGATGTTCTTTTTGCCTCTCCTCAGGCCCAGATCAGGATTCATTTTGTATTTTTAGGGTAAAACTAGTTAAAATTAATTGTCTGTCATACCTAAGTCACGAAGGACTTATCAGTGTCCTATGCTAGTGTCGGGAAAATTATGGTTTAATTTAGTTTCTATTGCTATGGGCTAGGGGTTTTGAAGTCAGTTTGGCAATCACCCTGCACTCAATTCGAGATTCAATACTGAATGATAGGTGCCTTGAACGATAGTCCATAAAATGATTTTTTAAAAACAACAACCTCGTCTCATTTCATACACACTGTTCATCGCAACTTGTGCACACCCATACACCCCCTTCCTTTCCCACGCACATTATATATAGGCACATGCGAGAGCGTGGCAACATGCACATACAGACACACACACATACACATACACACACACACACACACACACACATGTGCATGCACAAACAAGTTTTCAAAATATAATTACCCAATATCACGGAAAGCAAGCGCGTTCGATGGGGCAACGATCATATTTTTTTTCTCTTCTTTGTCTTTGTACTACCTGATTTTGGGCCAATCTACCTGAAAATGACCCTGAATCTATCTGAAATGGGAACTTTGAGGTAGGCAGCCCTGCATAAGCCTCAATGTCATCATACAGATATTACAAACACACCATTGCTGATTTCCACAGTGCAGAGCTTTGGGTTATTTTAACTACGGTTATCTACACCCAGGCCTAGATACACTCACATTCCCCCCTCCCTATATTTATCCCCTTTGGTTTGGGCTTTAGTAAGCCATGATCATACAGTAGGAATCGAAAAGGTCTGACAGCTTTATGATGCTTTGAGCCATGCCCATGAGCTCCTTTCCCACATGTATTTTAAAGAATGCTTATTTTTTTTCATGGATAACAGGACCGGTGGACAAGCCTGTTTATAGGTGACAGCAAAAACGTTCAGCTGAAAGTGTTGTTTCCTTGTGGCAGGTAAGATTGCATGTAGAATGAATCCCTATTTTTGTTAATTTGCGCTAAGAAAGCATCTTGTTTATTTCACATCAGACAAAGAGTATGTCATGAATGATTGTTATCGTGCTAGAAATAAACTACAAATTACAAATGTTGATAGAAGGTTATAAAGTTAGCGTTGCTTTTTTCCATCTCTGCTTTTTTTCTCAGTTTGCTGTAAGTGAACTCTGTATGGTGCCATTCATGTAGTGATTCTTTTTTGGAGCTTCAGCTTTTCCTTTTCTCTGGGAATATGCACACTTGAAGATTTATTACCCTGCATCAGCTGTTCAATATTAAACCAATTAAATATAACCTGAGCATTTTTCAGAAAAATATTTTAATTTTAGGAATTAAGGAAAGCGTTTTAACAATGAGAGTGATGAAATTGGCCTATGACACTTCGCAACCTTAGAATTACAAAGTGATTTCTGACATTTTTGGCCATTTTAAGATACTGAGAAACCAAATGTTCCTTCTGCTCCATCAAAATCATAAGGTTATTCGTAGTCATTATCAAGATCTTCAATGAATTGCAATTGAAAAGCTTGGCTTGTTGTGAAGCTCAAAATTTTTATGTCAAATTTCTCAAAACTAGAGGTACTGAGCAGATAGTAGAGTTGGGTAGCGAGCGCGAGAACGGAGCTGAATTGCCACTCTTCCCTGCGGAACGCTATTCGCGATTTACTTCATCGGAACGCGGAACAGGATCGCCTTCCGATTCCTGATTCACTCCCCAGTCGCTGTCACCACCTTGTGGCTTGTTTGTAACCTACTGCTGGGTCGCGAGTCGAGTCACGAGCTCAAGAAGTGAACGGAACACTTAGTATGGCTCCCCTTATTTTCAAAAGATAACATAGTCCAACCCCCCTATTAAAACAAAATGAACGGGTTCCAACGGATAGACAGAAGGAATTTTATGGAGCCATTGTTTTAGTTTAGCGAATCATGGGGGGGGGAGGGGGGTGAATTTATGGGGGTCGCTAATTGAGGTCAGTATAGCAGTGCAACGAAGGGCAGGGGGGGGGGGGCGGAGAGGATGGCGGGACAAAGAGTGGGACTCGCGAAGTGGCGTTGATATGACACTGTTCTGTTTCACACATACGAGCCCGAGACTTAGTGTTCCACGAGCGCTTGCATACTCGCGATTCATTGAAGCCGACTGAATCGTGAATCGCCACTCTCAGATTTGGCAAGCAGGATCCAGCTTTAGCAGATAGGACTTTGTAATTCTACAGTAGCGACTTGCTGGCTCATACATTCAGCTTAGCTTAAGTTATAAACCATGCTCCTGTTTGCTGTGCATTATGGTGTCATATAGTGATGTGAGAGAAGTATATAGCTGCTGGAGGGACTAAAACATTACTGGGTTTTTCCTTTTTTTTTCCTTTTCTTTTTTTTTTTCTGTTCGCAATGTGTTGCCATTATTTTCACTGCTGTTTTTACACAATTGTAAAATGTGAGGCAGCGTGGTGGAATCAGGTTCTCGTCAATTTTTGGGCATATTGAGTTATTGGTATCATCTTAAAGCTTGTTCATTTGTCTTGCTTTCAATGAAAAAATTACCCATCCATCTTCAATAGAAGTGGAGATATTTTGGATTGAAGGAGGTGGGGGTCACCTGGTTTAAGAGGTAAAATTAGCGAGAAAATGTCCGCCAAAGCTTGGTAAATTCCAAAGCTGAAGAGTCCATGGACACTGTAAATCTATATTTTGTGCCCTTAATCAAAGTTTTCGGTGAAATCCTCAAAGGAATGTGTTTGTAAATGGACATAAAAGGTCTTGAGCCAAAAAACAGAAATTTGATAAAAATTGCTAAGCAGGGAGAAAACTGCTGTTTTCTTCGATTTTATTATTTTGACGAGAGCCTGATTCCACCACGCTGCCTCACAAATAGTCTTGTCTTTGATTTATTCATTGATCATAGCCATTTCCATCGCCACTGCAATTTCAAAAATTGAATCAGAAATATTGGAGTTGAAGTGTTGTCAATGATTTTTCCAGTTTGAGGTGTTATCAGTACCATCACAGCTGTTACATGAATAGCAGCAACTGAATTTGGAGTTACACCTGAGGATACATTTATAGAGATAATCTGTCATGTGTCACTTAATGATACAAGTTTTACTTAAGGCCAACTAGGGTTTGCCATCTGTATCTCTGCTGGGTTCACAAACCTCCTGTAGCCTCCTAATTCACTGACCTCAGGAATTTATAGAGATAACGCTTGTAGTTAACAGCAGCTTCGTAACTTTTCAGATTTCTTTACTTCGAATAATTAGAAATACTACAGTAGAGCATGACTATAGCGGCACCCACTCTACAGCGGTACCTAACCGGAATCCCCTTTTTTTCTTTATGTAAGCTCAATTACCTATGCTTGGGTTTAGCGGGGCAAGGAAAGGCCTGAACTTGGATACAGTGGGAGAAATCGAGCGAGCTCTTGCTGGGGGGAAGGGGGTGGGGGGCTGTAGGCGTGTTCCAAACAGGCAGTCAGCTGTGCGTCGTTGTGATTGGCCAGTCCAGTGATGAGTGGGGTGGGGCAGGCAGCAGAGAGAGATGGTGTGGAAAGACGCGTTACGTTAGCCACTCCAAAAGTGATGTGCCATAGCCTAGACACTAGGCCAAAAAGTAATAGAAGAGAAGCGTGTGTACAGTAGTCTCCGTCTAAATGCACTCTGTACAAAATCACGCTCCGCTCAAACGCATGCTTTCGTCATCTGACGGGTTTTTTTACTATATAATTTAGACGTACAAACGTATGGTCACTCCTTCTAGATGCACGCTCCGATCCGACAGGTAAAGCTTGACAAGGGGAAATTTTCAATACAACCTGCACAGCTTGCATAAGACAAGCCTAGACAACTGGATATTTGATGAGACTGCCACTCACACCGAACAAAGAGAATGATGAACAGCGTTTTCACACCCAACTTTCCACAGACAGTCTAGGACTCTTTGGTGAAATGTTGGGGAGTTTGGGGACTGAAATGTATTTTGATTGGTCACTATAAATGCATCTTTGAGAGAGAAGGTTCTGACTGGTGTTTGGGTTACTGCATGTAATGTTTAGTTAGACCAAGGCCTATGATGCGCAACATGCATGAATGTTGTAAAACGTTTGATAGGCATCTACTCTATAGGATTAAAGATTAGTCTAGTAAGCTTAATCAGTTACGCTTGAAGAACTTATAACGTACTCGTTCAACGAATCATAAGAGAAAAGTTTCTCTGAATATAGAGATCTATGATTCTGATGTCGTCCATGAATTTATGGTGGGGAATGGTCTGTCGTCTCTATGACTATCACCAACAGTTTCCGCTTGGGCTATCCGTTCCCGACATTTTATGTGCATATCATTACATTAATTCTGTTTTTCTTACCACCCCCACCCACCCACCCATTCAATGCTTTTGTATTCTTCACTGCAGTCGGGGAATCCTTCACAAAACAGTATCATGTCATCACATTATCGGCCACAGTGACCCCCGCCCCAAAGGGATGACTGCGTCTCTTCCTCCCTTTGCAAAGGTTCATGTAAATGCACACTCCGTGTAAAGACACGCTAAGGTGCCCTCCCGAGCACCGTGGGTTTAGATGGAGACTACTGTAGTGTGTGATTCCTGATTCATTGAATAGCGATAGTTGATTCTCAAGCATACGCACACATCCACTTCACCAGTTCTACATTAGGCCTACTGGTACGATAGACAGCACAAGCAAAAAGGCCGAGGAAAAGATGGCTTCCAACAAAGTCAAAAGGAATTAATGCTTCTCACTCAAATTGAAGGCCGAGATAATCAACGAAGTAGACAAGAAAAGGAAGACTAATCTAAAGTGCCAATGTTATTGAGATGGAAGGGAGGTAATGATATGGATTTCTAGGGAACTCACCACCTACTGCGAGATTTTTCTTCTGGAACCAAAATTCCTGCTATAGCCATGTTCTACTGTGTTCTGTTCTGGGCTTTTATAAATTCAATTTCGTTTGTTTCATAACATGCAAACTGATCAAGTAAACTTTTGCTGTTGTTGTTGCCAGGTGCCTTTTTACAACGATTGACCCAAAAAAATGTGAAAGGAGAAGTGATGGGGAGCCCCTGAAGACATTGAAAACGTGAGTTTGTACATAGGCCTTTTGTTAATTGATCGTAAGGTATGAATTAACCAGTTTTTGTAGACACACATCTTTATGCAATAATTACGCTCTGCATGTGTTCATTTTTTGCATGAAGAAGTTTTTTCATCGAGTGTTCCTGTCTTGCTGTAAAGGACATTCTACCAAAGGACTTGACTGCATGTTAACCCATATGGTTCAGTTCGCGACCACACGCAGCGCGCAGTTTCCATCGTATCGGCCTGTTTGCGACTACCCACAGCCCAGACACACCCTTCAGAAACGGAAGTTTCCTGAATTATTTCCACGTCCCAAGTCTCGGGCAGAATGTTCTGCTGAAAGCTGATTGGATGAGCTTTCATTTGCCGCTTGAAGTATAGAAATCGATGGAATAGAGAGTTTTTTTGTGTCAGCTGACAATCACCCGCTTTTGCGTGGGATATTCAAAGCGCGATCACTGACTATCGATAGTTTTTTAGACCTGGCCTAGCGCTGTTTTCGTAGTGGAAGAGGACATGGAAATGGAAGTGACGGCTGTGTTTGAGGATTCTAGTAGTGGTGAAGATGATTTTGAGGGGTTCAGTGGGACAGATGTGAATGAGATTCGACCAGTCAATGAAAATTTGATGGACTTTGCCCCGAGCAATGATGATTCTGGCCACCCAGATGACTTGTTGAACGGGTGAGCTAGGTGTGGAGATGAATTTTCAAGGAGCGCTCATCATGAATTTACAGGACAATCACTGTTGGCACCATTCAGTGTCGACCAAAGGATGGATCCAATTCATTTTTTTCATTATTTCGTCGACAACGAATTTCTGAATATTTTGGTTCGTGAAACAAATATGTATGCCTATCATAAGGCACTCGGATCTGACGCCGGCTCAAACGTGTATCTTGAGAACGGGAAAGATGTTACTCTCGATAAGGGTAGAAAAGAATGAAGGGTTATATCTATCATTTACATTTTGTATATATAAAAAAAGGGCTAAACTAGATCTAGATCTAGATTTGATTTACAATTCTAAAATAATTCTAACATGTTCAGCTCTAAGTCTAAATTGAATAGATCTAGAATCTATATTTATAGAGAACGGAATGAGATGTAACCCTTCTTTCTTTTAGAACTCGACTTTACATTTTTTTCCCTATCTAGATGAAATGAAAGTATTCCTAGCGGCTGTATTGAATATGGGACTGGTTCCAAAGAATAACCTCAAAGACTACTGGGTCTCGAGTGGATCTACTCAGACCCCTTGGTTTTCTGAGCATATAAGCAGAGACCAATTTATGCACAATTTGTAGAATTTTCACATATCGGACGTCGAAGAAGAGTGGGAGCAGAAACAAACTGACTCTGCGGACAAGCTGTTAAAGCTCCGTCCACTAATCGATTTGTGTTTGGACAAGTTCAAGAGAATGTATTCGCCTGGCCAGGACCTTGCTGTTGATGAGGCCCTTTGTCCCTTCAAAGGACGCCTGTCGTTCAAGGTATACAACCCTGCCAAACCCCATAAATTTGGCATAAAACTTTATACGTTATGTGAGTCATTGGGATATTGTTTGTCTTTTGACATTTACTGTAGCGCCCAATAGTCTGTTCTGTTGGAGAAGTCTGCCGTGAATACTGGACTCCCTGCGGATGCTGGCCAGACGGAATGTATCGTTGTTGGCCTTCTGAACCTGGCGGATTGCTTCAATAAAAACCACCTCTTGTACATGAACAATTTCTATACCTCGCCTTCAATTTTTAAATTCCTAGAGACGCATGGTACTTACGCTTGCGAGACGGTTCGGATGAATCGCAGAGGACTACCAAGTGTTTTCAAAGAGCCGAAGTTCAACAAATTGAAGGACTTCGAAACTGTCGTTAGGGCTAAATGCAACTTGCTGGCAGTGAAATACTAGCACAAGCGAACGGTGCACATGCTCTCTTCTGTGCACAAGGCCACTGGCACAGTTCTGTACAAGCATCTCCGACCGACTGTAATGAAGCCCAGCTGCATCGTTGATTACTGCAATAGAATGGGTGGGGTTGATCTTCTGGACCAGCTCACCCAGTACCATGAAATTTCACGGAGAAGTATGAAGGGGTGGAGGAAGCTGGCCTTTTATTTGACTGATCTCTGTGCCGTGAATGCCTACCACCTGTACGTGAAATTGGACTTTTTTCATCCCGAGCGAGAAGACCGAGAAGCTGACCTACTTCTCGGCAGTCCCGGTCCCGGTCCCGAGAAACGCTTCTCGTCTCGCGACCAATTTCTCTTCTCGCGCTGTTCACGGGCAGCTCGCTCAGCGAGAAGGCTGGCCGTGGCGGGGATCTAAACTAGGCCTAGGCCTAGGCCCTAATCAACTCCCCATTCGCCTCGTCTCGCCACCCTCTCCCCTCCCTTTCAGTTTCAGACACAGGACGGCACGGTGATGGGTGACACTGTCTGCGTGTCATTTCTTGCTGGCTGCGCCACTCTTTTTGTTGACACCTCTCACTCTCATTACTCGTTATATAAAGCCAACGAGCGGTATCACTTCTTGGTACCGGGCAGTAGTTTAGTGCCCGGAAAGTGACGGGAAGGGCATTTCTCGCGAGAAACGGGTGCTCTTCTCTCGGCTCGTGCCCGCTCCTACTCTCTGATGCGTACATGTGCATGCACACACACACACGCACGCACGCACGCACGCACGCACACACACACACACACACACACACACTCATCATCAACACACTTTATGTATTTTCATTTGACTGTTTCAACCCCGCTTGCCTTCTCTTCTCACAGGTTCCGGGTGTTTCCAGAGATAGATAAGACGTCTCCAATGTTTGGTGTGTATGGTGGCGTGCGATCTGAAGGCATAGTCAAGGTTGGAGATCCTGTGTTTGCTATTAAAGCAGTGTAGCTTGCATCAACGTCAAGTTGAGTAAAATGCACATAAGATTTTATAGCCTTGTGCCATTTTTCTTAAGTTGGATTCATTATTACTCCTGGTTTATGGCTCTTCCTTTGAATTGTGTTGATTATGATTTGATTCTTGTTTAACTTCTTAAGACCCATCAAAGAAAAAAATGGTAAGAGAAAAGAATATTTGACGTCAGTTTCACTAAGTTCAAAAGCAAAACAAAAAATACTTGGTGTATGTAATTTTACAGATCAACTAAAACTAAAATCCTTGTGTTGTTGTTTGTTTTCTAAATAACCTTTCATTCTTGAGAACCTTATGATAAAGCTTTAGAAGATGAATGTAGAATTTTTAAAAAAAGAATTCTCATATGACATGTTATTTTGTGAAGGACAATGATGACTACAAATGACTTTGTTTCTGGCAACAAGTGAGATAACAGATTTTTCAGTCGCAGTAAAGTGGTGAATGAAGAAGATGTTAACCCTGTCAGACTTGCCTCCCTGACGCTGACTTCACCTTATACCTGGCCACCTCGGTGAAGCATAGGAGAGCAAGAGCTTCCTAATTACCACTTGTCCGGGAATCCTGCACAGGTGTCGGTTTGTTTAGATGTTTCGGGCATGACCCTTCTTCAACACCCATACACTGAATGACTGTACGTTTTGAAAAGGTTTATCCTTAAGTTCCACTTTATATATATATATATATATATATATATATATATATATATATATCTATCTTTTGTTGAGGCTTAAACCTTTTTGTAATTTTTTAAAGAGGAAATGAAGGTCAAGGAGACAGCGAAGAAGGACAAGTAGGACTTTTGATTAAACAATAATTGGAAATAGAGTAGTGACCGACTGCCCAATTTGCAGTAATCAGATGCAATATTCGAGGGATACAACAATGATCGGTGCAATAATCATAGAGTTGTTAGAAGGATATCAATATGAGTTCAATATTGTTGAAAACTGTTTTTTCAAATGTGATAGTGCCTATAATGATTCATATATATTTGTGTACTCAGAAGAAAAAAAAAAGAAATTTTCTTGTTGGTACTGCTGTCAGATAATGCAGAATATTGTGTTCTATCTGTTTGTAATGTTGTTTCTTATGACCATTAGTTGTTGTATATTAATGGGAGGAGCGACCCTCAGTTTGGCCGATTTTGGGTCAAGCTATGCAAATTGAGATGTTGGCTGATTTTTGAAGTTCCAACCAGTTCTTTGCCTAAAATAGCAAGGAGACAATTGAGAAAATCTTTATTCTCGTCGTAAACTGCCTTTGAAAACATGAGGGTTTGTTAAAATACAGTAATTTTTCACAATGATATTTGTCTTTCTCAAAATGTAATTCTTTTGCAGTTTTTCCCCAACTCTTTCCTTGGTTTTTATCCTTTTGACACGATACTTTCAGGAAACAGATGGCAAAGCTGCCCTTAATGTAACAGAGAGATATTTGCGAAAAAAATAACACTTTTCCTCTGGCAAGCGATTACGCAACCAAAATTTAGAAACGGTAGAAAAATACATTGGGAAAATTCTCATATTTTTTTTCCTTTTACACTTATTGAAAATAACTTCCTGTTACGTTGATAAGGACTGGTTCAAGTATACTTTCACCGAATTTGGTCAAATCTGGTCAGTAGATAAGAAAGCTCTAGGGATTTGAAATTCATTGTTTAATTTCAAGATGGTGTCCGTTTCCACAGCAACCGCTGTAGCTATGCAAAAATAAAAGTATGTATTAAGAGATTTTTCTATGCCTAATTTATGTACTTAAATTTGATCTCAGGCAACAAACGGAAAATGGACCTTGAGGGTTGCTCCTCCCATTAAAAGTCTCATTGTGCCTGTCCTCAAATGTTGAAAATTTGTGAAGATTAACCAAAGGCTATTCTGCAAAATAATAAACTGGGCCAGGAAGGCACAGTGACGCGCAGAGCTGGCTAGTCATGTTATTTTATTAGTGCTATTTACATACACTACCTTTTTCATTATTCTAATTTTATAATGGCCATGTTATAAAAATTCATGTTTCAAGTTTACCCTAACTGCCATATTCTGCGTCACAATCGATTGTTGCATTTATTGATATGGGCATTTTGATTTTCATAATGGAAAATCCTTGAGTCACAAGTTACAGTAAGTGGAATTTGGATATCCCATATTTATAATACAATGGAATCCTGTTATAACGAGAGGGAGGGGACCGGTGCAAAACATCCGTTATCGCAGGATTCTCGTTAAAAAGGATCCAGTAATAAATTAAATGGAAATAGTACAGTAGGCCGAATCTATACTATGAGTCTGGTTTTCTGTTCGTTTCTTTTTGTAATCACCCCTGATGATGATTTGGTTCAACATGACCTCTTGGTCTTACTTGATCAAAAATCGAATATGGTTTCTTTCTCTAGCGCTAGCGATGTTGATAGCTCGGTGTCAGCGATCAAAAATAAAGCTCTCTAGGCTAACTCGTCCGTTGTGTTGTCCCCCACCCCACCACACCCTGCTGTGCGTTCCATCTGCTTGCGCACGTCATACATTCGCTCCATTCATCACAGCACTGTGACCTCTCCATCCCCACATCGGAGAAGTGAGAGGCATGCTAGACCTAGATAATCTAGACTAGGCTGGCCTATCACGTGATGCGTTCTGCTTGTCTGCGCACACCACATCCTCCCCAATCATTCGCTCCGCCTTCATTGTTGGCTCCCGTGGGCTGTCCCATTCTTTGTTTCGCAAGATCGCCAATAACTGGCGAGGTTTTGCATGAATAAATGGCCTATGCGCTGTGCACAGCAGCAGCAGTAGTCCGCTATAACCGACTCGCATGTTTGTCTGATTGCGCTATAGCAATATTTTATTTACAAAGACAAAGAAGGGGAAAAAATGGGGTTTTAGAATAGTGTCTTTATAACAGACTTCTCGTTATTTCAGGACTCGTTATAAGTGGATTCCACTGTATGTTCAAAGGCTTGTTGTAGTGACATTTTTCCTATGTTTTCTTTAACGTATGAGGTGTTAAATTTAATATCTGCCCTTTTTAAATTAATACATTTAACAAATATTCACAGACAAAGTTTGAAAGAGGAGGTTCACAAAGGGCTTTTTTTGTTGAACTAATTAAATGTTAATGTCTTCCAGATATTTTCCTGTTAGAAAGCCCTTGTATTGAAACAAAAAATAGGTCAAGTCAATTGTTTCATGTATATATTCTCTTTAAAACGTAGTCTTGCTCAGAAAAATAGCTTCCCTATTTGTGGAGAAATTTACGTTTTTCTCTGGTGTTTTTCCTTTTTGTTTGCTTTTGTTCTAGTTATTTTAGCAGAAAATTTTGAACTTGTGCTCTCTGTTAGCTTTGTTATTGACACATGTTTCAAAGTTTTCATGCTAGAGGCTACTCTGAGTCTTGACTCTTGACACAGTTTTATGATCAACGAAGTACAAAATTATTTTGTTTTATACAGGGTAATTACTCAAGAATTACACTTACATGTTCAACTTTTGTATCATGTTTAATTTTACTTACGTACGAACTTTCAGTTCT